TAAATTATATTGTCAAGATATGGACAATTCTTCATAATAATATTATTTACTAACAAACTGAACATCTTAAGAGATGATACTTTTATGTCAGATTAGTTGTAGTATCAGTATGTTTTTACTAGTCTGTAATAAAAATTGAAAAGAAGTTGAAAGTATGTCCTACCAACTGTCAATTAGATGTGTCATTTTTTAAGATGTATCAGTTTTCTTAATCAGTGCATGTAAGCAAAGCATGACAAAAAAAGAAATTATAAACATTAAGTGGCTTTAARTTGCCAGTGACATTATGCTGCCAAGCACTTCACTCACATCGCTTWTTTATTTTTCACCATACCCAAAATGCTATCCATCTTGGTACTCTACACCAAACAGAAGTCACATTCAATATTGGAGGCAGCCACACTTCAGAGTGACTACCACACGTAACAATCAGAAACAAAGGGAACCTAATGTTTACATTAAATAGACAAATGACCTAAGAATGATATGATATGGGATAAATTAGGATAGCAACAAAGAGTTCAGTGCATGTTGGCAATCTCAGATGGTCCCACTGTAAACTATATTGAAACTAACAGGTGGTCAATATCATGAGTACCCTCAAATCAAAAACATATCCAGTGACCTTTACTAATTTTAAAAATACATATAGGTTTAATTTTTAATGTCTTCAAATTTTACTTATAATTATTTTTATGGTTATTTTTTATATTTTTTTCAATTGACAAAATATTTGTGCATATTTGTGGGGGTATAGTGTGACTTTCAATAAATGTATATAATGTGTAATGATCAGATCGGAGTAATTGGCATTAATCATTTCTTTGTGCTGGAAACATTCAAAATCCTTTCTATTAGCTATTTGGAAATAATTAATTGCTGTTAACTATAGTTAACCTATATAAAACTTTATATAGGTGTTATAAAACGTTAGAAGTTACACCTCTTATCAAGCTCCACTCCTGTTCTGATTAACCACCCTCTCTTCATCTCCATAACCCCCCACAACTTTCTCTGTCCCTAGTGACAACTATTCTATTCTCTGTTTTTAGCTTTCACAAATAAGTGAGACTATATGGCATTTGTCTTTCTGTGTCTGTATAACTATAAATCTCATAAAGCTTTCCTACTTTACATTGGAAGCAGCAATAACACAGATTCATAGATCTTACAATAATTCATTTGATATTTAATTATCAAGAACCTATTAAGTGTAAGAGTCTGTGCTAATCTTTGGACTACAGCAGTAGCCAAAACAGAAACTCCTGGTGTCCTTACAGGGCTTCCATTCTAGAAGGGGGGCAAGTGGAGGTAGTGAATAAGGAATATAAAAATTAAGTAAATCTTAAGTAGAGAGTAATCAGAACTACAGAAAAAGAGAAAGTACAGTAACATCCAATGTGGAGTGGGGATGAGCAGACTATAGCATTAAAAGTGAGGTTAAAGTAAGTGTGGTTGAGAAGGTAACATGTGAGCAATTAACTTAAAGGAGGTGAGAGGGTTAGCCATGGACATACTGGGGAATGGTGCTCTAGGCAGAGGAACTGGGTAGAGCAGGCTTTCTAAGATGGGAATAGGACTGCACCCTGAGAGACTATTTTCAGGATATGTACCAGGGAATAACATGTGCCAGGCAAACTCAAAGTGTTTAATGTGTACATGTAACCGCTAAACAACCTTATGACATCAGTGTCATTGTAAATTATTTTCTAACAAGTGAGAAACTTAAGCACAAAGAAGTTGAATGATCATACAATTTGGAATTGATAGAATTAGGATCCAGTTCTCAGAGTCTGATTCCACAGGAGCACTGGATAGTTAGAGCTTTAGATGTGATTTGAACAGGCCACACATGTGCATTCATGCTCACAGGTCTGCAGACACACCCACATGCCCACAGTGCTGTGTACACACTCAGTGGAAGAGAGCTGACAGGGGAGAGGAAGACAGTCTGCTGTCCACATTCYATTCCTCCTATTTCATGTCGGATATTTTTTTCTTTTGTAAATTTCACTTCTTAACCTTCAGATTGAAATGTTTATGTGAAAGATGTTTAAATTGTTTGAAAACAACTGGAGTTATTTTCAGAATAGCAAAACTAAATTAAAAATTCTTATTGTGTAACAAATATTATGGAGATATATACAATTTTTTTTAAAATAAAGGGAACAAAACCAAAGTGCTTTCACTGAAATGAAACAAAGTGCCCTAAGAAATTCTTATTAATCTACAGAAAAAATATGAGAACATTTTTCAAAAAAAATACAACAAGCTTTCATCTAAACTATTTACTTTGGAGAAATCAATACAAAGGCATCATAAATCATGATTTATGACTCATGCCTCCAGAAAATGAAGATAAATGTGTCACTGAGATATTTTTCTGCATTAATTCTCTTGGTTTTAACACAAAAATACTACATTTCTTTCCCATGCATGTTATCACTATGAACTTTTGAAAAATTCTTTAATTATATTGTTACAGATAATTCTACATAAATTATAATTCTTGGGCTAATTCAGTATACACCAAACATATATGAATGAGACTATATATTAATACCTGAAATATAATATTCTTCAAAATATATAATAAATTGTATAAAAACTGACTTTGAATTCCTTTATATCAGGGTCATGAGTACTGCATTCAGTAAAGTGAGCTCCACACAAACGTATTAAATGTCAGTTAAAAAGCAGCTTAATCCTATTTATTTGAATAAAAATTATCCAAATGTTTAGTTCTACCTTGAAGTATATTGATGAAAAGAACACTTTTCATAAATCTTGCAATAAAAACAAAATATCTTTCCTTAAAATAGTGTAAAGTCTCTAACTATAATATTTTAAAATATCCTACAATTTCATAATAGCCAGAGAGATAGGAAAGRAAACCTTTCCTCCAAATGGTCATAATTACCAGGAAATTTTGAACAAGAAAATCTGGACAAAAAAATTCTTCATGACAGATAAAGAAACAGTGAGGTAAAGTACCTCCCAATGATATTCCATAGCACTTCCAGCATCAACATGATTTGTAGAAAATTACTTAAGTTATTTCTTCAGTTACTTTTCTTACCTCTTACCCATTTGAATTGCTTAAACCAAACTCTAYGAAATATTATTTCGAGAACTTTTCAAAATTTAGGTATCTTTATACCAAACACACACATACACATACTAAATATGAAATGGTGTTTCCTGTTTTGTCTTCTTGATTATTGAGGTTCAAGGAACTTACATTAACAAGTTTTTAAAATTTGACTCTGGTACAATTTTTCTTGACATCACAGAAAGTCAAGACAAGAATGGAAGGCTATCTGAATTCCTGAACAAAGATAACCATCTCCCAACACTCCAGGGACTTTATACTACATACTATGTTTTTGCTAAGAATATGATCATTTTTCATAGATTTAAAACTTACCAATTAATAAAAATTTCCCAAAGAGAATAAAACTTACATATGAATATAGAGAAAGAAATAGTCCTTGATATAAAGTAGTAAACAAATTCTAATGAGAGCTGAGTGACAGGTTAAAAGGGAAGGTGATTTCTCAATGGTTGAAGAATTGCAATAAGTGTAAGGTGGTCCGTGCATTTTGGAATTTTAGGTTTTGGGTTGAAATTTATTACCAAAAACAAATTCAGGGTAAATGGAGTATTACTAGGTTTTATGCTTGGATTCTAAGATGAAAAAACTTAAATGTTTACATGTTTCCACTATATGTATAATTTTTAAAGATGATGAAAAGCATCTTTACATCCTCCATCCTTAATATTCATTCATATTTATGCAATAGTGTTAATTTTAACAATGTCCTAGCCATTGCTCATAAACAAATACTCTGATTTGCATAAAATTGGTTAACTTACATTTCATTTTATGGTCATTTTTTTTTATGTGTCCATTAGGTTAGGCTACAGTTCCATTTATTCCATCAGACAATAAAGTCTGTTGGGATATTCCATCAAACAATAAAGGGTGTTGCTTTGAAGATATTTTGGGGATGCGATTAAAGTTCATAATCAGTTGACCTTATGTAAAGAAGATTACCTTACATAACTGGAATTCTCTGGAGACAATTTGGTGAAAGGTTCTAGAAGTTGAACTGAAGCTTCCTTGAGAGAAGAAATTTTGCCTTGTGTTCAGCAGTTTCAGTTCATGACAAGAAAAATTTAACTAGCCTTTCCAGTTGGGTTGTCCGTCAGATTTCAAACTTATTTATCCAATCCTGACAACCATGAACCCTAATTCTAAACAATAAATCTATTTAACTCTTATTTTTTTTTCCTGATTGAATACCGATTGATAAAATTCCAAAATTCCAAATTGAGGGGAAAAAAGTAAGGTTAGTAAGTTGCAAAGATTTCTGAGCACCCCACCCTAGGCCCTGTTTACATGTGCCAAGAGACTCAAATCAGACAGGCATACATGTTTGTTTATATAAATATCCATTGTCTGTCTGTCTCTCTCTCTCTCTCTCAAACACACACACACACACACACACACACACACACACACACACACACATAATCTTAAATTAAAAACAGTAGGTTTCCACATGGTCAAATTCATATGTTGAACAGATCTGACATTTATGACAGATTTAATCAGTCAGAAGCATCAACAAAAGATAACTACGCAACAGGAGACCAGGACTCAGAGCACATTCTAAATACTAAAGTGATTTATAGAAGGAAGTAGCCATGTGATATACTTACACCAAAGACATTTCACACAGTTTGATACAGGGCAACAATTATTTTAAGAAAACAAACAAAAATGTTTCTCCTAAAGGATAATAGATATTGCTTTTCCAACCAAAAAAAAAAAAAAGAAAAGAGTGGTTTTAACTTTTATAATATTAGTCAAATATTTCCACCACTCTAAAAACCTACATCAGTAAATTTTTGAAGTTGACAAAAAATAACTTAGAAAACTCAAGTTGTATCTAGACAAGCTAATTTTCCCTGCATCCTCTGCTACCCTTCCTTACCTGGACTGCATATCTTGTTGGGTTTTGGCCTGATTGGCTTCCGACTGAGGCGAAGTGTGAGTGACTCTCTGCTGAAGTTCCACCAAGGACTGGTAGTACTGTTGTTGATGGTGTTGTTGCTGTTTGTAGCGAGACAAACTAAAAAACAGTCCTAGAATGGCTTTTAGGTTTCCATTTCTTATTTCTGTAGCAAATGGAAAATACAAAAAACAGTATCATATATTGAATATATTCTTTTTTTTTTTAACAAATGAAATTCTATATGCAATCCTCTTAAACCAAATCTATGAAGACAGAACTATGACTTCATTGTCTTGGTCACAGTGTCAAAGGAATCTGGATTTCTGGAAACATGCTGACATTCCCAAGTAGCTAGGAATTTCAGGAAGAGAATGAAGGGATGAAGGAAGAGAGAACAAAACTCACTTAACAGAAATGCTGTTTTATCTGACCCTGAACTACAATTTTTCTAGAGTTAACTTCTTGGAAATGGATGTGCTTGCTCTCTTGTGCTAATCATTTGATTTAGTGCTCTGATTTCTTCACAAATAAATACACACAGCTGTTCCCAACATTGCAATGACTATGAACTAAAGAAAACAAACTACTTAAATTTTGTTTATCTTACATTTATAAATACTTATGGTGTGGGTATGCCTCAGTTGGATTTAGAGTAGCCAACATTCTTTCTAAATCACCCACTGATCAATTTATTTTACATATGTACATATGTCTATATCTTCCAAATTTACATATATATTTAACAAAAGACTATACTGTATCAATTTTTAAAATTCCAATCTTTCTATTTTTAATTCATGTTATATATTATTAAATAATAAATATCAGCTTATGTCACACTAAATAACAAAAATGAATAAATATAAATAGAAATCTAGTTCTAACATGTAGGGCAGATGTTGAGTAATAACATTTTGAATAATAATTAAATTTACAAAGTCAGCTACAACATGAGCCTACTTTTTTCTTCTGCATTTATAATGTAACAATTAGAAAGAGAAGTAAGAAAAACTTCAAATAAAACTATATAACCTCTTATCATATTTTAAATAAAACTTGCTATCGCCAATAAAACACATCTACCTCCGTGGTCAAGGTTTTATGTCCCCTTATAGAGTTTAGGAGCACTAACAGGCTCTTTGGGTTTCTTGATCTTCTGTGGTTCACCCAAATGAAGAGTCCTGTAAAATGTGCCACTGAACTGTTCTTTTACTCTCCAGTGCCCCCTCTGTTTCCATAATATAGAAAAGTTGTCTTCATCAATCTGAAGATATAGTGAGAAACTATTAATTTTACCCTATAAACCTCAATGATCTTGCTTGCAGAGTTTTTAAGAAAATTCATTGCTATTATGCATTTTTAATTCAGAACATCATTTTGGAGCATCATATAATTTTAAAAGACAAGTGGTAGTAACCTTATATTGATAAAGGTTATCATGTGAGAAGGCAGAGACATAAAATGAACATTGGCAGCATTTATAGCCTGCCTTTACCCACTTAGAAAGCAAAATATTTTCCTGGGAAATTTTATTCAATTATTATTCTAAGTAACAGAGTCACCAGTTAGGTTTACACCTAAGCTTACTGGCCATAAATCTTTAGTTTAATTATGTAGCATAGCATATAAATATGAAAGAAACTTACAGGAAAATTAAATACAGAAGGGAAACTGAACGAAGTAACTAGTAAATGTCCATTATTTCAGAAGCACACAACTTTTCTTATTCTAATGACAACAAAATTATAAAAACTTAAAATGGTCTAATATTTCTAATAATGCTGGCAAAAGCTTTGCAAAGCAAATTAATGGTAGTGAAAGCTGAACTATTAAAGTATTTAGTAGTGTCTAAATCATAACTTTAAATACATCATATTCTAACTAAAAATTACTATTCTTGATGCAGGTTCCAAAAGGACTTGCTATTTCATAATCTCAACAACTGATTTTTACTAACAGCATTTGAATATTTTGCAAAGGTCTACTAAAACTTACCAAATTTTGTATTTTACTTAGTACTTTTATCATTAATAATTCAAATAGACAAAAGCTTATAACACGTTAATACACCTGACACATGAGATTTAAAGTGACAAATGACTAGGTGGAATAAATATTGATGAAGAATAAAATGACAGATGATGGAGAGAAGGAGATAGAAACATCATTTATTTTCAATTGTGACAGTTTTCCTAATGTATGCTATTTTTTTACAAAATTTTGCCACTTCTATATGTGGAAGAAAAAGAGGCTCTAAAGCAAAGAAATAATCACAAGAGTAATTCAATCTCTTTCCACTTTGATATATTTCAATTTTTGTGATGATTTTTCAAATCTCTAATGATTTTTAAATGTTTACATATAATAGTGGTTAAAACTATTCCTATAATCATTTAAGACTCATGGTGACTTATTTAAACTTGAAAAATGTTTGGCTATGACTACTAACTTGATTATACTATAGAAATGTTACTGATAAAATCATATTTGAGTTTTATTTACACTATTTTACCTGCATTTATGTCCACTTGTTACCCAACATGGATCTAGCCATCTATTAATCTACTTAATAATCTAAAAATACTCAACATTAGTTATTACACATAGGCTGTGTTGATTCACCCCCATCCCATGAACATAGTCACAATAACAAAAGTTATTCTGGAAAACATTTAAGTGATTAAATGATATTAATTACCATTATGTTCATATTTCTGTTATTTTGGAAATATATCAGTTTCCTTTAGCATGTGAAGGAGTTATATATTCCAAGATTATATTTCTTACATTACAAAAACTCTTAGATAACAATAATGCCACTTGTGACTACATGGCACTTTTCCTTACCTTCAGCAGAAAGACCTTGAACATTTACTCCTCTGGCTGCTAGAAAACTAAGGCAGACATCAACATTTTCAATCTGCAACATGAAAAGCAGTGAAAAAGGCAATTTAGAAGGTTGTTTTTGAATAAAAACATGAGTTTGAATGAAACCAGAAAGATAAAGAATGGATATTTTACATTCATTTCATTCTAGAGATCTCTTTACCAGAGTTTAACTAGAATTATTTTGGCTAATTACAGAGTGAATATAAAGCCTTCATTGTCCAGTTTGACAACTATAAACAATTCATAAGGGCCTGGTCAAGAATGGCATTTTGGTAGAGTAGCAACCCACCTACTTAACATAAAGCCAGATTATGTGCTTTAATGAGTGTCAATGAAAAATTTCCAAATGGGATGAGATTGTCACATGTGTCTCAGAATGTTAGGACAGTAGTAACAGAGATTCAGCCAATAATACTGTTAAGGATTCCAAAAGAATATTGAAAAATAGACAAGTGGAAAAAGAGTTGTTAAGATGAAAGAAATGAGGCACATTTTCATTCTAAACCACAGAAAATCTTTATTTCAGAACTTGTATTTATATTTCTACAAAATTGATTAATCCTATAGTAAATAAAGGTATTAACTTTTCCACCTTAAAAGGATGATATCCATACTTGTTTAAAAAATAATTATTGGTACATTAAAATTATACAAGGTCATGGGATTCATTATGCCATATTTGTATATTCACATAATATATTTTGTTATATTCTCATTCTTCAGTACCATCCCTTTCCCTCTGATAACCATTTAGTGTGAGGGGAAAGGAAAGGAAGAAAAAATGACTGACTTATTTTATAAGTAAGAGGCTGATCTTAACATTGGCCATGGAGTTACACAACTAAAAGACTTTCATAAAAGTACAGAAAGCTAGAAAATTCCATCTCTTTGTGAGCCCTTAAAAAAAACTATTCTATAAATCTTGGAATTCTAAAGTAAATAAGAAATTTAAAGTTAATAAATTGGGAAGGTATTAACTTCTGTCTTACTAAGCTCTTATCAAAGGCCAAGCATGAAGACATTTAATGTTCTGCCAGTGTCCACTTTAACTTAGAGTCATAGTAAGGTCAAAACATTTCTTTAAAAAATCAAAAGGAAAGATAAATTTATATATTTATATGAAATCCATCCTTATAAAATGAACAAACCATATTCCTTTTTAAGTGTAATTTTGCATTAAATTAATGTAATAGCCAATGAGATATCCTGTGATTGAAAATGGACACAGCCAAGGTATACACATTTCCTTTGAGGTAAAAAAAATTTTATATTAATTTACTTCGTTTTACTGATATCTTTCTACTGCAAAAAATAATAGAGTTGAATGTGCTGGTAACAATACAGCCTAATGAATTTTATCTGCCTATCAGTATCTGAATATCCAGCAAGGCTATAATGTTGAAATACACATCAAATCCTCTTTTTTGTTCTCAATTCACTTTGCTACTAGAAAATAATTAAATAAGAAATAAAAGGAGGAGCAAAGAGAAGAGGAAATGGATGAAATTGCATGTCCTATATCCATCCAGAGCAGTCTTTTAATTCTTCAAGTCCATTTAAATTTTTAAATAACAAGTGTTGATTGTGACTTAATATTGAAAAAAATGGATAAGTATTTTTAAATGTTTGAAATAACAGTCCTGATGTTATTAATTTCATTGCCATTATAAGTCTTTTGTAGAAAATAGAAAAAATTCTGACTTAAATATGCCATTTACTGAAAAATATTAACAGGATGTTATCTCCTAAATTTGAATTACTTTTATGATAGATGAGCAGGTTAGTTGGGTGGGACATCCACAAAATACTAATAAATAGAGTCTTTAAGTTTGTAAGATACATTTTTCAGTCTACTTTTCAGTCAGCATATGAAATAGACTGATATCTAGATTGGGTTTTAAAAACACATGGCACTATATCAACATGAACCACAATTAGAAAAGAACCCTGGGGCTGGGGCTGGGGCTCAGTGGTAGAGTGCTTGCCTCAGCACCACGCAAAAATAAAATAAAAGTATGGTGTTCATCTACAACTAAAAATATGTATATATATTTTAAAAAGAATTTTATAGCACACTTTTTTATATCTCTGTATATAAAGTATGTTCACACCAATTCATGTCTTCATACATGTACTTTGGATAATGATGTCCATCACATTCCACCATCATTTCTAACTCCCTGCCCCCTCTCTTCCCCTCCCACCCCTCTCTCCTATCTAGAGTTCATCTATTCCTCCCATGCTCCCTCTCCCTACCCCATTATGAATCAGTCACCTTATATCAGAGAAAACATATAAAACCCAAATAGAGAAAAGTAAAAAGCAGACCTAATTCTTTTCAAGACTATTTCTCAGGAGCATTCACCTTTTTTCCTTTATGTCATTCATTCTGAGCACCAGCAACCTAAAATAGTTCTATCAGGTCTCCATTATGACTATGGTAGCTAAGTAATAGCAAGAGAATAAATATTTGAATAAATTTCTAATATATCGACTAAAGGCTAATTTGTTTAAAACTCATTTACTTATTCAATAATATTGTCCCAGGCCAAAATGAATTTTCTAATAATATAGTAGTATAATAAACATAACTTTAAAATCTTTTCCCTGATTAATTTCAGTCCTACAAATTCAATCACACTTGTTAGTATTATGCTACATTTTTTACACAATCAAAATACATTACAGTATAAAGAAATGGCTTTGAGAAATCTTATTAAATTCCATTTATGTAGTCAGTTTCCTCACCACAGGCATACTTGAAAATAATTTGAGTGGAATTTTTAACTATATGATATCATGCTTCAGTTACTGATTATTTTTACTTTGATAAATCCTAGAGATGATCTTTTTATTCCTGCTGTTTTTAAATACATCATCCTTAAATATATTCCAGTTAAGTAGACCTACTATAAATATTGTCTTGATTACTTTTTTCCATATGAACTCACAAATGTTCTTTGAACTAAAAACCTCTTAACTTTTTGGGAAACTTACAAAGTGATATTTTCTACTACATTATATTAGCTTCTGCTAAATCTATTTAAGTGTTGATTAAGAACTGCAAGTTGGACTTTAGGGTCCGTTAATGGATGGTAAGTCACAATTTGAAAAACATTTCCCTAAAGAAAACCAGAGCATTGCCATGGCTATGTTGCCTCTTTTTATGTGGGGAGATTATATTCAGTAGCTAATAACTAGCAAATCATGCTCAGAAGCAAAGTCTCTCCAAGATTTAATTAAATTAGATACTTAATGAACAATATTTAAAATACGGGCTATATAATTATGGTTAACTTTTACATGTCCCCATACCTAGTACCTGAACAAGACATTTACTACTTCTTTCAACCCCCTTTAATTTGTCTAGATACACAAATAAAGGAAAAGAATTGAGTTTTAATGTAATTTAGTCCTTTATAAGCAACCAATTATTTGTCCAAATTAAACTATTTCAAAATAACTAGGTTATTTGACAAAGTTAGTCTTTTCTTGGTCTCCTCCTCACTCCCTCTATTTAGTTTGTGAGCATGTAGAGTTGTATGCCAAGCTTTCATAGGTATGCTTGTTTATTTGTTCAGATAGTTTTGATTTTATGAAGATGTAAGCTTGAGACCTTCAGTCTCTGGAAAATGGGAACCATGTTTTATTAATCCAGATTCTATAATATAACATGAATTTGATATGTATTCAAAAACAATTTCTCATCTTTGGCTGTTGTAAGTCAGGGAAGAAAATATCTTTATTCTGGAAAAGAAAAGATGGTAATGACAGTAGAAAGCCAAAACCCACTGATAATAGGCAAACAGCTGAGAAATGGAAATGTCAAAGGATTAATGAAATTTGGAGAAGCTAACAAAACATGTAGACATACCAATATTCCACAAATACTGAAACTATGTATGAAAGGAACTTGCTACTAATATATTTTGAGCTTAAAAAAGTAATTTCAAAGAATTCACATAACTGCAGAGCCTATGGAAATCTCACAAGACCCTTTCAATATAAATAATGAGATGGCATGCAGAAATAAATGTCATTACTTAGAAGATTCAGTGAAATTGTACATGGAAAGCATACAGCATGATACACTGCATATAGAACAAATGACTCAAGAAACAAGAAATGAATTATGATTATGTAAGTCATTAATACTAATAGTTAGTGACCATGGTATAAAAGGCATTGCCGCCCCTTTTGCTTTAGGCCTTATGTCAACTTGCCTAAGAACTGTGCATGCTGCATTAACCCTGCTAACCCATTTTTTTTAATCCAGAGATTCTTAATCTTTGTTGTACATAAGAATAAATAGCATAACTTTAAAATCCACGGATGCCCAATTTATATTCCTATCAGTTAAAACAAAATGCCAATATATAGGAGCCAGTTTCACTTCCTGGGTGATTTCAACTCACAACAAATCTTGGAAACTACAGCATCAATCTATGCTCTTCAAAATAAATGCATATATTTTCAGTGTACTCCCATGTTGATGCAGGAATCCCACTGCTAAGACCTAGCAATACATTGTCTTTTTATTTGTGTCATGGTATGACATAATTCATGCATTTTATACTTTATTCTCATTATATTAAATATATATAAACAGACAAACATATGTGTGTATATATTTATATATAAAAGGATTTACATATATATATATATATATATATATACATGCAAAGAGAGATATTTATGTAATTTTAAAAAGTATACAGCAGTAGTACAAAGAAATTTATTCTGAGTTCTGTAGGCACCACATTCTTCATTTGGCTCAGGTAATAGTCACATTATAGCTTATGAACAGTTACTCCAAAACTCTTGCTTGTCTACTGTTAAGCACAATTTTTTGAGTCCTGTCTTCTATTTGTGACTTTCCTTTTCTTTTCTTTTTCTTTTTTGGAATGGAACACTTACTTTCCCTCTCTGTTTCATGTTAAATTTAATTATAATTAGGTAACTATGAAAACATTGATATAATGAAAATAGAATAAAACATCACTAGTTCTAGATTCAGTCAGGATTTTCAGA